TTTTCTAAACAACATTTAGAGGAAAAAAAAAAAAACTTGCTAAGGAAAAACGTTTGTTTTGAAGAAGACAGCTGAGTAAAATTGTCATATTTCTCCAGCACCAGTTAACCTCAGAAACAGTTCTGTTTTCCTAATCAAGCTACAGTTAAATCAAGCATCTTGGTTGTTGTTAAGCCTTTTTGTGTTGTGCAGGGTTTCTTGAAATCTGGGCTCTTGCTGTCACCTGTGCTTTGTGTCAGCCCCAGGCCTCTGCTCAACCATGTTCCTTGGTGGTCATGATGCGCTGTGGCAGCTGCTCTTGGCTATTAGCAGGCTCTGCCACTTTTTAGATACTGTGACTTCAGCTGTCTAGTAAAAGTTGAACAGCTGTTGCCCACATAGGCAAGGCTTAAAGCTGTTAACAGAGCTGAAGTTCCAGGAAGAATGATGTGACTGTAGCCTTGTTCTCCCTCTTGGCATGGTTTTACCAAAATCATTAGCATCATTTCTGCAACAGCCTGTTTGACTCTATCATCTGAGGTGTCTGCGTGTGTTCTGACTCTACAGCCTACTGTCTCTCCTCGGTCTACCATTGTCTTGTTAGTTTAAATTAACAGTGGGAGGATGATCACACTGGAGTTCAGCACCTGTGAAGGGATATGAGTGAAACTGAACGCCATCCTAAGCAAAGCCTTACCTTTCTGCCATTGTTAAATGGTCCTGACTTAGTGATAATGTGCCCCCCCCCATAATTCAGCTAACTGATCAGAATGTAGACTCCTAAATTGGGTAGTAGAGGTATTGGTAGACCTGTCTGCAGCTCAGTAGTCATAGAGAAACATACTTTCACATAGTCCCACTGAAACACCAAAGGCTATTTTTCATGAAGGCACATCTCTCCTGTCTTCTGTCTCCTGTTTTTATCTCTACTTCCCCTGCACATGCACACACCCTGACAGAGCAGAGATTGGAAGAAAGAAAAGCACTGTGTGATAAAGTGTTCACAGTCAAAAGGGAAAGACACAAAAGCAAAGAGCTCCTAAATAATGTATGGAGATTACTCTGTGCCTTTATGTGGCTTTGATCTCTTATCTAGAATGGGTGGGTCAACCTCAGTTAACCCTACTTCTTATGCCTGAGCATCAGTCAGAGTCAGCACAGGATCATTGAGGACAGACACACAGGCACAGAGCCACTTTGGCAGCTTCATGATTGTCAGTCTTGGATTAATCCACCTCATTTTTCTTGGCAACTTTCCAAACCAGGAGCATGCATACATCTTTATTTAGAGAGCATTTTTGAGGAGCTTCTAGAACTAATTATGATGCTTGAAGATGGTAGGAGAAAGAACTCTGATCCCTGCTAACTTCAACATGAAAGAGCATGTTAGGGGACAAGAAGCCCATACGTTAGCTGTAGAACTGCAGATCAGAGTTCCTGATCCACCTTCTGGCAGTTCTTTCTGGGGCTGGAGGTACCACATGAGTCCAGTAGAGGAAGAGGGACCATTTCTTCCTTGTCTCTTAAGAAACCTTTTCCAGAAGCCTCTTCCATAGAGTTCTCATGTTGCATTGGCGAGCATTGTTCCTACCACAGCAGCTACCTGCAGCAGAAATGGAATTCCCTTGTTTATCTTACGTTTTAGGATTTATCCAAAGTTGTAACAGAATTACTCTCTTATGGTTCATACTAGGACAGAGCAGACCTATCCCCACCCCCACCCCCTGAACAAACTTAGGGTCCTGTAAAAGGTAAAGGAAAATGACTGTGCCTACCACAGTTTAGAAAATGACATAGCACTTGTGTTAGGAGAACATCCCGTCTGTCTTTACCGTCTTCTGAGAGAGAAGCAAGGAAAACCTTAGTATCCGGAAACAGCCCTCAGAACCTTCACAGTAAGAATTGAATCAGTACATTTGTTTTTAATCACCTGTGGGCATGCCTGGTGTTAAATCACTTGCTTGTCCTCAGCAAGTTTTTAGTCTAGTTGAGAAAGTAAGATGAAAATAAAGCCACAGTATTCACTCTGATTATGGTCAGGGTAAGGCACAGGCTATATGAAGAACAGGATTTTAAAAGGAAGAAAGCAATTTTTGTGAGTAAAGGAAAGAGCATGGGGCTGGAGGAGAGTTTAGTGGTTAAGAGCACTGGCTTCAACTATCCATAACTCCAGTTCCAGGGGATCTGGCACCCTCTTCTGACCTCCATGGGCATTGCACAACATGTATGCACTTACATACATGCTGGCCATGCACTAATACACAAAATAAAAATAATAATTTTTTTTTAAAAAGAAGAGCACAAAGGTGAGGATGTGAGAAAGTGCCTCTCCTCTTCCTCAAGTCACAGATACAGAGGGCAACTGGGGTGGAGGTGTGGAGGCTAGAACATTCCACAGTTCTATAAAGATTAGGACGTTCTACCTACTTCCAAGCATAGGGGAAAGACCTGTGAAAGTTTTGAGTTCAAGGCAAAATTACAAAGAAAAACAACTAATGAATGAAATAAGAAAATATGTGAAATATTAGAAATTCCTTTAGCCACACAGAAAAGTACTGTTCTCTTAATTTGTAAACCAATTCTATTACGTGAAGTGCTTCCTAAGCCCTTCTCAGAGTGAGAACAAATCAAAAACACTACATAAATTTATATTTTATGATCAAAACCTTCCCATATTTTCAGCAAATAATTCAGCTCTTACCCTGCTCACCCACCTAGCTTGTCTATAATTGTTCGGTGATTTTTTAAAATATTTTATTTATTATTTTTATTTTATGTGTATGAGTGCATTGCCTGCATGTAGGTAAGTGCACCAGTGTCATGCAATGCCCGTGGAGAACAGAAAAGGCTGTCGGATCCCCTGGAACTGGAGTTACGGACAGTTGTTAGCTGCCATGTGGGTGCTGGGATTTGAACCCAGGTCTTCTGCAAGAACAGCCAGTGTTCTTAACTGCTGAGCCATCTCTCCAGCCCCAGTGTTCAGTAATTTTTAATACCAAGTAGATTTACTATAATTCTTCTAGCGTGAGAACTCCCTTTTTAGGATGGCCAGTGAGTTAAAAACTTACGGCAATTATAGAAATTGTTTCTTACAAAGCTCATGCTTGTCTAATAGAATTAGGAGCCCAAACCCTGTGTACATGTCTACCACCAAACACCAGGTAACCAGGGCAGCTGGTAAGTCACTGAGACTTCAGCTTGTTCATCTCCCCATTCATCTGGTACTGTAGTTAGTGACTACATGCTAGAGGCACCAATATAATTCTAAATTTAACCTGCATGTTTTATTTATGTATTAGTTTTACAAAGAGATGGAGCTACAGATCTATTTCATGTTAGATGCATGCTAGCTAGAGCTATGGTCCATCTCTATAATCTGAATCCTATTTCAGCCCTGGAAATCTCATCCATAGCTAATAAGGCCCCAGTGCCCCAGACTGCAGACATCTTGGAGTAGTTACCCTTTTTATTTATTACATTATAAATCTATAATCAGAAAGAGGTGGTATTAATGTCTCATTTCCAGAAAGACATTTAGATTTATGGTGTGCTTTCATATCTCCTAAGATCATCTTTGTAAGGCAGACTAAACACAAAAACCATTCATCCTATTTTATACTCAAAGCTCATAAAATTGATACTATGGATCAATCAGATTATAGATACACTAAATCTTAGTATCTAAACTTTGGGTTATTTTTTTCTTCCTTGTTTTATTTTTTGTATGGTACAGACTAGGAATCAAACCCAGGGACTTGAGCATGCTAAGTAAGCACTCTACTACTGTACTATATCCTTGCCCTCTACTAAATGTCTGCACTCTCCTTTGAGATTTACCAGATACCATGTTGACTTCTGAGCGAACTCTGTCTTAAATAACCATACACTCGTCTCCTTTGTGACCAGTAATATGAAATGTAGGGGTGACTAGGTGTAGTTATAGGACCTTTGTCCGTGAAGTGCAGCTCAGAATTTGTATGAAGCTGAAACAGGTATCACTGATCTAACCCTGTTGGTATTTTACTTGAACCCTGTGCTGTGACCATTGATAGCCCAGTCTATAATCATAATAAAAACAAAGTAGGTTTAAGCATAGATCTGGCTTTTTATTGTTAAATGGGTGATATTTCGAAAGTAGACCTTCGGCATGGTTTCTTTGTATGTATATTTGTGGGCGTATGAGTGTCATGGTGCATACATGTGGAGGTCTGAGTACAACTAGCAGGAATCAGTTCTTTCCTTCTACCTGGTGGGTTCCAGGGATTGAACTAAGGGTGTCAGACTTGACAGCAAGTGCCTTTACCTGCTCAGCCATCTGGCTAGTCCATTACATGATTTCTCCATATCACCATCTAAAAGTCATGAATGTAGTCCTAGTGAGTATAGTTCAGTGAGTGGTAGGACACTTGCCTAACCTGTGTAAGACCCTGAGTTCAGTCCCCAACACCACACACACACCTTCCAAGTGTACATGATTACTCATGTGAGTGGTGTTAGCAGACATCTGCTTCCTTAACATCAAGCTAATGAACCACAGAAACTTACCTGTGTTACAAAGTACCTGAGTGCAGACTGACTGTCCTGGAGTCTTTAACCACTTCAGAAACAACTAATTTGATGATCTGGCTCCTATCACAAGCTGATCACATAAGAGGGTGGGGGGAGAAGAGGGAAGCAAAATGATTGAAATGATTTTTTTCAGTATTTTAGGTCTTTGGATTATGATCAACTCCCCCATAAACACACCTAAAGAATTGTACATCAGTGCTCAGTGAGCATTGAGAGTGTGGAACCGTGCTGACTGATCATCTAGAATCTGGTTGATTTGTGCTTGCATTTATGTGTCTAGCAGGAAGCCTTTAATGGTCCTTAAAAAATTTTGCTTAGAAGAAAAAAAAAAAAAAGAACATGTTTTCCCTCACGATTTTAGGTTTGAAAAGTTGTATAATCAGAACAATATGTAATTAATTATTAAATCTAATGAGACTATGAAGAATCTCTATCCAGCCAGGCATGGTGGTACACACCTTTAATCCCAGCACAGGAGTTAAAGATAGGTGGTTCTCTGTGAGTTCAAGGCCACCCTGGTCTATATAGTGAGTTCCAGACCAGCTGGGGCTCCAGGGAGACCCTGTCTCAAAAAGACCCCCAAAAAAGGAATTTGTATCCAACTTGTGCAGTTGTAAACTGTGAAATTAATGACATATAGTTCCCAGGTTGTTCAGTAATTAAATGGTAGTATTAGGCTAAAATGAATATAGTAGTTGAGTTTGACCTCTGAGGTACCAAATAAATTGCAGTTATGGTAGCTTCCCCAATATGGCAGAGCTCTGCAACATCACAGTCTTGGGACACAGATTCAACCTCACTCAGCAATATGCAAGACAAATAAGTAAACCTTCAACTTCCCACTTTAGGTAGGAATTCAGGTTGTTGCCAGATCTTTAAAGAAGAATAACATTGATTTCATATTTCTACTTTCTAACATCAAAGAATAAATACCATTTAACAAAAGTTTTTACATTTATACTTTCCAAATTAAATAATACATTTTGATGTAGATTAAACTGGGAAGTTTTTCAGCAGGTACTCCAGTGCATTCAAGCCATTTGAAATTGGTTCATCTATGCATTGCTAAAGATACTGTCAGTAAATACACATAAGCATGTGTATCCTTTTAACTGAGCGATATTACTTAACTTGGAAACATCTCCCACAAAGAAAAAGACATTGTATATATTATAGCAGCATTCATAATACATGCTGAATAGCAACCAAAATGTCCAGTGATGATGTAACAGGTAGTTAAGCAAATTATTGTGCAGAGAAACATAAGTAATAATGATATCATTAATAACCTTGTCTAAGACTGCCAAGCCACAGTGGGACGACAGACAGTAAAAAGGGTGTACATGAGAAGTGCATTTTCTCTAGACATGTACACATGCAGACAAAGCTCAAAGAATCTAGGTAGCCATGTTTTGTAGTTTTTTTCCCTATTTTCTTAGCTTCCTAAGTTGTTGTATTAATTATGAAACATTGTTCTGATGTTTGGGGCATATAAGTAATTGATACTATGCTGAAAACTGAACAAGATTTTCCATGTAAATTTATTTGCAATTAGTGAGTATCTTTGCCTTTTCCTTTAGACCATGATCAAGACACTGCATTAACCCAAATGTGTGGGTGCTTTTTGGTTTAACAGGTACCAGTCAGTGGCCCAGAGCTGGAGGGCAAGCTCCTTCATCCCCAAGCTATGAAAACTCACTTCACTCCCTGGTAAGAGCCTGCTACAGATCTTTACAGGTCTTACAAAATCTCACCTATCTATAGTGGGGGGTGGGGATACTTGTTGGTAATGGTTTTGATTTTAGTAATCCTATGTAACAAAGAAGAAGCAGGAGGATAGCATTGCACACGAATTCTTTGCTAACAAATGGCCTGATTTAGTTGAACAGTAGAATACATTGGTGCCCCTTTTGCCATCTGTTCTTTGGGACATCTGGACAACTGGTAGTAAAAGGATGTTACAGGATTTTTGTTTCTCTGGAAAATCCAGGGCTTAATTTTTTCCATATTATTAATGTTTATATCTAAGAGGAAACTTGCCCAAAAGACAAGAATTCAAATTCATTGATACAATAATCATACAATAATACTGTGTCATTTATTATTATAATAAAGTTTTTATGTCAGTGTCAATTATTTTGTTATACAAGTATTATTTCCGATGTTTTCTTAGAATAAAAATTTGCAAATCACTCAAAATGTTGCTTACCAGACAAATAGTGCAGTAAGGGAACCTTCTAGGCACTCCAAGGTGAAGAATTTGTGGTAGAATGTTAGCTACTGTTGCTTTTGTCTTACATTTGTAACCCAGAATCACAAAGTATAATAAACATAAATAAGCATGATCTGGTGGAGAATGTTAAGTCACGTTGCCATTCAGTAATTCCAGGTTGCAATTAGAAACATTGTTTTTCTATGAATAACACAACGATTTAAATTGAGGGAAATTCGTCTTCTCACATTTTGCAAGCAGATCCAAGCAGTGTGTGCTGTTTAGGTGCTAACCTTGTGAATTCATTAAACCCCAGCCTTCTCAGACCTTAATACAAGTAGATCCCGCAGTTTCCACATTAACTTTACTAACGTGTTATGCACATGCACATCACCTATTTCCTCATCTCTTTTGGAGTTAATCTTAACCTGTGCTTTGCCTCCTGTTCTGTCTTGACTTTGCCAGAAAAATCGAGTTGAGCAGCAACTTCACGAGCATTTGCAAGATGCAATGTCCTTCTTAAAGGATGTCTGTGAGGTACTATTTCTTTTAGATGGTGCCTTTTTTTGTGTGTTTAAATTACTTATCGTCACATTATCCATTTAAAATTGCCAAGCTGTACAGACTCCAAAGTCTTTAAAATCAAACAGTTGAGCATTTCAGTTTTTTAGCAGTGTTTAGAGTAGACTTTTGTCTCTTTCATTGTTGAGAATGACTTTTTCTTTAAAGAGCTCTGCTGGCATGTGCTTTCGGTTTTTAAAATTCTAATATGTTTGTGTATAAGGCATGTATGATCCACAAACAGGCAGTGTCTTTTCTTCAGTTTTGTTAAAGAGCTTATCTGGATGTGTACACCACTAAGGATAGCTGTGTTTTACTTATCTAAAACAAAATTAAAACTTAAACTTGATGGATTTGAGGACCCCTCCCCATTGACATCTTTCAAGGATCATTGTTAAAGTACAGTTTATCCTTTTTTCATCAGCTATAATTGAGTATTGACACCGTAGCCTTCGTCTTTTACAGAAGCTAAAAGAAATAACCTCTTGGTAGATTGGTAAATTCATCCGATAAGGCAGTGATTTGTGTCTGCAGCTTTGAAAATTCATCATAGCCTGCAGGTCCTCTGTTGTTGATTGTAGCGCAGGAGTCAGTTTGGAAGCTAGATGGTACTGCATTTCACTTGCTGTCTTCCGTGTATCCCGGGGTGGGAGACATAGCAGTTTAGTAAATTAAGTTGATACCAGCAGTAACCTCCTGCTGTCTTCAACCCTTACAGCAGTCGAGAATGGAGGACCGTTTAGACAGACTGGATGATGCTATCCATGTGCTGCGGAACCATGCTGTGGGACCTTCCACCAGTCTGCCTGCTGGCCACAGTGATATACACAGTTTATTGGGACCATCTCATAATGCACCAATTGGAAGCCTCAGTTCAAACTATGGAGGATCAAGCCTTGTTACAAACAGTCGATCAGCTTCAATGGTAAATTGTACTCGCCTTATGTGCAATAACCCCAAATAGCTTAAATGTTTTTTGTTTTTTGTTTTTTGTTTTTTATCCATGAGATTTTGGGAGAAGGTGGTCTCTCTTGAGAGAAAAGTAAAAAGAGGCTTTTAAACTTTACTTTATTGTCTTGGGTAGGATCATGGGCTATTTATTGGCCAGTCCAGTTCTGCCATGGCGACATACAAAAAGAAAAATATTTCTACAGAGATGAGTTAGCTTAAACCTGCACTTTTTTCTAGATACATAATAATTAGCATGATAGTTTGGACCTTGAAATAGAGTGTAAGAAGTCCTGAGTAGCAAAATCAATAAATAAAGGCTAAGTTTTAAAGTTTCTAATCTAGCTGGGTGTGGTGGCACAGGCTTGATACCCCCCAGCTACTCTGGAGACTTAGCCAGCAAGACAGCAAGTTCAAGGCCGGCCTGGGCAAGTATGAGACCTGTTTCTAAATATAAAGTACAAAGAAGGCTGAAGCTATAGCTCAGTAGTACAGTGTTACATAGCATGTGTGAAGCCCTGGGTTCAGTCCCCAGTACCACAATGAAAATAAAAGGTTGTGGTCTAAAAAGAACTTTTTCTAGACCAGAAAAACTGTTTATTATAATCTGGAACTTACCTTTAATTTTAAAAAAAAAAAAAAAAGTGAAACTAATTTGTACAGGTGCAAATTTAGGCTTCATTCCCAGATTTAAAAAAAAAAAAAAAAAATGGAATTGGGGGTGGAATGATCATTAGGTAACAAAGGAAGGAAACACTTTTCAGTATAATCCATCTTTTTAAAACATGTTAATTCTTTTGAAGGAAAAAGAATAGTTTCAAAAAATTCTATGTCAAATGTCTTACATTATTTTTTATCCATATTGTCTTTTAAAGATTGGTTTTTAAACCTGCTATGTAACTGATACCATGCGTGTTTACATGCTTATTGCGTGGATTTTAAGGTTTACTGCATGCTGAGATAGTTTCCTGTTAAAACAGATTTCTAGCTGTAAGCCATGTGATCAAGGCTAAACCTTGCCTAGCACCACAGTAATTAGGTGCCCCAAATGCTCAGGGCCTGTGCTCTGTAACGTAGGGTTGATTCCACATTTCCACACTCTCATGTCCAACTGCTACTTACATTCATTTTAGAACATCCAAAGGAAGCCTCGCACTAGGCTGCCTGGTCTCTGAGAGCAGTAGTTCCACTTGATGAGCAGCTGTTCAGTTAGGCAGGGACGGTGTTGTTTTCTGTTTTGTTTTGTTTACAGTTTCGGGAACTCTTGGTTTTTAAGCTCCTTCAAAATTAGTTTTTGAAGATAGCTCATGTGAAAACATTTATAAATTATTAAATTCAGAAACATGGGAGGAATTGCCATCACTGTTGCCATGAATTTTGTGGTATAATAAGACTAATAAGGTGGCATTTTGCAATATGTTCATAGAATACCGAATTATTAATAATTTGCTGATGTATTACTTATTTTTAGAATGACTTGAAAATCAGTATATTTGACTCACAAGTCAGCCTTACTGGCAGCATTTACAATTTGTATTCTTCCCTCTCACAAAGCATTTCTTTACTTTTCATTGTACTAGTTGACTGTTCCTGTGCTAGTTTATCTGCTACAATATTTGATATATTTCTGCTTCCTTCTGACTAAATGTGGGAAGTGTAACTCTGTCTTGGGGAAGTTTTGTTTTGTGTTTACTAATTTTGAATATGCCTTAATAGGAAAAGAGATTTTTCAAAATCTTGTCCTCCAAAGCCCTGTACATTGTCTCACTATGTAGACCATACGGGCCTTGAACTCATGATAGAGATCCACCTGCCTCTACCTCCCAAGTTCTGGGATTAAGGTGTGGGCCACCATTCCCCAAACCCCTGTGATTTAAAGGACTGGTAAAAGGAGAAATTGTTTCATTACAATTTTCCCTGAAACTTTTAACTAAGAAAGTAGCTTACTCCATCCTCTAAAAATGTGCTGCCTTCATGCTTCAGAACATCAGCGAAGGAATAATTCTTAAGAAGGAAAAGTCTCGGGGCTGGAGAGATGGCTCAGTGGTTAAGAACACTGACTGAGACCTGGGTTTGAATCCCAGCACCCACATGGCAGCTGACAACTGTCCGTAACTCCAGTTCCAGGGGATCCAACAGGCTCTTCTGTCCTCCACGGGCATTGCACAACACGGGTCGGGTGCATTTACCTACATGCAGACAAAACACACACACACACACACACACACACACACACACATAAAATAAAAAATAAAAAAGAAGAGCAGGCGTGGTGGCACACACCCTTGATCCCAGCACTCGGGAGGCTGAGGCAGACGGATCTCTGTGAGTTCAAGGCCAGCCTGGTTTACATAGTGAGTTCCAGGATAGCTGGGGCTACAGGGAGACCCTGTCTCAAAAAGACCAAAAAAAAAAAAAAGAAAAAAAGAAAAGAAAAGTCTCACAGTATTCTATAAGCAGGGGTCTTCTGAAATGTAGTGTGAATCTGGCTCAGTGAGGGCAGTAACGTCAAGATGATGGCAGCTAAATCCAAACTGTTGTTCGGTGTGTGTCAAGATCCCTTCGGTTCTTAACAGCTTCTTAGAGATACCGGGCTGCTAAATAATTTGCCACACAGCATCTACCTTCTCCACCCTATCCACACGCCATCAGTCCTCCTGCTTAGGAGATGGTGTGTTCCTGCTAGGCTTACACCCAGAAAGTGACTGACAGAATCTGGTGAGCCAGTGTTCATCTCTGATCTTCCCAGGTCAGCTGTTTAGCTACGAGTCTGCAATTCTGCCTCAGGAATAAGACCAAAAAATAGAATGAAATAAAGATCATGGTCTTCCTCCCAAAGCTGGGACAGGCATGTTGGTGAGGAAGACAAAGCCTGCTTATGTGGCTGGTCCCACCCATGTTTCATAGGGTGTGTGATTTAGGGAAACATTTTTGTGTCTATCTCATTCCGCTCGAGACCTATTCTCTATTGTCCCTTTATGACGATGTATCCTAACTAGATTATGAAAAGTAATGTGGTCTTACATTCTAGAGTCACTTTTCTTTTTATCAGAAATTTGTTTCATTAACAGACATTAATATTTGTGTTTGACTCCCAAATAAGGAGGTTGTGTTTATAAAATAGTTTATTGAAAGATTTGTGAGATCAACTTCTCTCAAAAACATGTCATTTTCATCACTCTTGTTTATTTTTATTTATTTTCTATGAGTGTATTGCCTGCATTGTATAAGTGCACCTGTTTCGTGCAATGCCCTCAGAGGTCAAAAGACAGTGTCAGGTCCCCTGGAACTGGAGAGTTATGAACATTGTTAGCTGCCATGTGGGTGCTGAGAATTGAACCTGGGTCTTCTGTAAGAGCAGCCACTGCTCTGAATCACTGAGCCGTCGCTCTAGCTCCTCATCTCTCCATTTTTAACTTACAGAATAGAGTTATTCTAATAAATGTTGTAAATATCTTCAGGAGCTTCACAGAACACTCAAAAAGCACTTTTGGTGTGATGGGATTTTGTTCCAAGGACATTACTATAGATGAGCATCCCAGCTGTAGGTTTAAATGTTACGCTACTTCCTTTCTATCTTCAACTTTGCCAAGTATATGATGCCAGTCATATTTGATTCTGTGTGGTAGGGTTAGAGATTGAAATATGGCCCTCATATATAATGAGGCAACACTCTTAACACTGAGCTGCACCCCTATCCTTACAACTAATTAATTCTGACATTGAAAGCAGCCATTGACAATTAAAAAAAAAAAAAAAAAAAAGGACAGCTATATTCCAGTACCACTTATTTACAAAAAAATAGGTTCCTTTATTAAAACAGGACAAGGTTTAGCCAAAGGCCATGCTTTGCTAATTCCTGGCTTGGAATGTAAATTGACTTGCCAGATAATAGGTGTTGCTATGGCTTTGTTTGGATGTTTGTTTTTCTTTTTAGTGGCGCCTATAACTTTTGCCCATTTGCCTAAAATGATTAGTTTGGGGGTTTTGTTGATGTAATTGAGGTGTTTAAGATGAGCCAAGGTGTACTGAGAATGGAAGAAAAGTAATTGATGGCAGGATAAAACAGTGACGTTAGCCACGCATGGTAGGAGGCACCAAGTTTAAAACCTGCCTGCACTGTACATGAGTGTGCATCTCAAAATATGATATCAGTATCTGAGCCTGCAAATCAGACACATCAGTGATCAAGACTGTCGTTAGTATAAGTCTTTGTGGGCAGGTTAACCAAACCATTGGTCAACCTGGTCAAGAAAGAAAATGCTTGGTCAAGAAAATAGCTCTACTCTTAAGAATTTTTTTTCCAGTGCTGGAGTCCAGCATCTTAACTTGTGCTAGTCAAATACTCTTCCACCAAGCCACACCCCTGGCCCTCAGCGTTATTTTTAGTTATAGCAGGATTATGCCATTAATTACCTGTGATTTATACAAGATCCATCTTATTGTTTTATAGATGAAATAAGTGTTTGCTTTTTTAAAAAATATATTTATTTTTTATGTGTATGAGTGTATTACCTGCATGTATGTGAGTGCACCCATGTTGTGCAGTGACGCAGAGGTTAGAAGAGGGCTTCAGATTCCCCTGGAACTGGAGTTAAGGATGGTTTGTAGCTGCCATGTGGGTGCTGGAAATCGAACCCAGGTCCTCTGCAAGAGCAGTCAGTGCTCTCAACTGCTGAGCCATCTCTCCAGCCCACAAGTGTTTGCTTTTTTAATGTTGTTCCTTAAAAAAGATTTATATTTTATACTGAGGTTGTAAGAAGATTGTATTCTAGTAGAAGTCCGTATCAAGAGACTTCATCTTGACTGTTGTTTCTTTCAGTTGGGCATTCTTGAGTAGCATAAGTGTTTAGAATTAAATGAGGTTTCAGTCACAGAAGGCTTTTAACATTTTAGCTACCTAATGGACATAAAAATTAAATTTCCTGGGAGATAGTTATATCAGAAAAAGAAACTAGGAAATGGGTGATTCTTCCT